GTCAAACACCATGGCGTCAGTTGAAGGCATTTGGAACGGGTCGAATAGAATCTGATCTGGACCACTTTGTTGGTAGTAACCCATGCCGAACATGGGTTGGCCATCCATGCCCAAGGGATCCGGGTATGCTGACTGGTCCCATTCGGGGTCCCCATTCATGTTCGCCACTGGAGCAGACGGTTCAATGTCCATCTGCGACATATCTTGAGTTGCGTCGGGATCGCGATCATCAGCATGACGTCCGTCCTGCTCACCGAGGACATGGCTCTGATCTCCGTATCCGTACAGACCACCCTCTGCGGACGCGGTAGCACCGTTGGCACCATTAGCGATGTCTTCGGCAGTCAGAGAAGCACTCTCCTGAGCCTTTGCGGTGTCGGCCTTCTCCCGTAGCTCCTTCATACGTTTGCTGTTCGCGCTGCGGCCCTCTTCACCAGCTGTCTTGAGCCAGTTGAGATTGTGCACGCGGAAGTCGACGAGGGCCTCAACACTTCTATCATCCGCAATAGCCCGGGTATCATGACCGAGAAGGGTGTTCTTTGGCGTATAGGGGTTGCCGCTTTCGGCACGGCGGCATGCACCGCAATTACAGATGCCCAGGCACTTTGGGCAAAGCCAATTCTCGTTCTCCTGTACCGTCTGTGGCATCTGATCAAACGCGCGGTAAAGCACGCCGTAGCAGTAACTTTCTTTACACTCTGGATTTGAGCATTCTTGCACCTTGTAGGCGTAGTCCTTGTGACAGCAAACGTGGCAGCGACGAAGTTCTCCCTTCTTCTTCTTCCGTTTGTATTTTTTCTTCTTGGGCTTGCCGTTGTCGTCCAATTCTGGCTCGGGTTCGGACTCGGTGAGTGGCTTGTCCTCGTCAAGCCTCGAAATATCTTTGAAAGGTCGCCTGTGCAAACCCTCCTGGCAAATTTCGGCCAGTGCCTTCTTACCTCGCCGGGTGCGAGCGATTTCAAGAGGCTGAGGTGATAGCTCTATATCAACGAAGCCGTCGTTCTTGATGATCATCGCCCGCCAGAGTTCGTAATCCTCCGTCAGTTGTTCCCACGACCATTGCTCGCACCATTGAAGTTTGGATATGCAGACACAGGATCGTCCCATGGCGTAGCATTCCATACAGACGTCGTATGCATCCTCATCTCCGTTGACCAGAGTCCGCACACAGTGCTTGCAGGTCAAGAATCGGTTGAAAATGTTTGATCTGCAGTATGAGCAGGTCACGCAAGAATCGTACTCGACATATTCGACGTTCTTCTCTTTGGTCGCAAACATTTCGTCAACAAGAATCTCGGTGTAGAGTGAGAAAAGATGGCGGAAATCCTTGGCAAGCTGCTTATACCGTGAGGATGACCGGAAAAGCTCCGAGCTTAGACCGGCAATGCCCATCTCGCTGTCCTGCTCGGCCTTTACCATCTGCGCGAAGTACTTCTTAAGCGTATAGTAGATGATAGCCTTATTTTTGTACTGCTCATCACGGCAGACAAGACGAGCTTTGGGAAGGGCTTCGTGGAGTGCCATGTCCAGGGTCTCGACAGTCGTGCGGTTCCACGCGACCTTCATGGTGCGCGTGCCCCTATTCCAGACCTGGTGAGGGGCTAGAGGGGGGATGAGGATGAAATCGCCGGGTTTCTGCTCGACAATGTAGACTGGAAAGGTTGCCTTTTTCCAGGCGTTGATCTGAGCAAAATGCTTCTCAATTTCGATGTCGTGGCCGAGCATAGATAGGAAGTACTCGCGGACGACTTCTCGATCCTTGGTCTCCGTCATGAACCAGATGGAGCTTCCAGGTTTCTCTCCGTTCTCACTCCCCGAAGCCTCAACCATGATGTTTTGTCCGAGACTGGCGCACATTTCACGATGCGCCGGGGTGAATGTTCCTTCGTGTCCGATATAGCACATGAGATTCTGTGCTCGCATCTCCTCGGGCAGGCTTGACATGAGATCTCCCGCAGGTGCCACCTTTGACCTATCGCCAAAGCCACGAAAAGGATCACTTTCTCGACTGTCTGCAGCTCCCTTTTGCGTGACGTTTTCGTTCATGTAAAATAGGTTGGGAGGAATGACTTTCTGCAGATGTTCTTGCCATTCGGGAGGACAGTCGATGTCTTTCAGGTAAAGGCGTTGCCGTCTCTCGTCTCGATAATTGGTCGGTGTCCATTGGTTGGTGAGTTGTTTCATGGCTCTCATATAGTGGCCTGTGGTCATCGGAATCTCGGTCTGGCCGGTAATGTCACGGACATTTTCCTCTGTCTTGATGTCAGCTGCTGCCGCGATCAGGCAAAAGGTGACTACACTCACGCTTCTTGTCGTATGTCTTCTCCATCCACTCTCCACTGAAGAGCCACTCGGGAAGAACCTCGTTCCATTTCTCAATCACCAAGGGCTTCCCGCCCTGAATGACTTGTAGTTGGACCAACTTCTCAAACTCCTGGGGGCCCAATCCTTGGATCTGAGCAGTCGAAATTCGGAGGACCCATTCGAAATTCGGGGTATGATCGACAAGCGTGAAAAGGTCCAAGTCCGGGGGAATCGGATCGAACTTGGCCTGGGGATGCGATGGTGGCGGCATCTTGAAGGCTGGCTATGGCTACTTTCGGGCGGGGAATCGCATGAGAATGCTATCTTTGACGCGTCGGTCAGGACATGCGAGACGCATGTATCCCCAGGCGTAATCGAGACGACCTGCGGCGCGTCGAGTCGGCGGAATTGGTAGGATGACCGGCGAAGACGCCGACTGGTGATGTTCGCGACAAACGGCGGTGCGATCCAGAGGCTGGAAAGCGTGTCGCGTAAACGGAAAGTGGCGTCGGGCGAGGCTGAACAATTCGAGATTCAAAGGCGATGGGGAGGAACGAAAGTCAAATGCGCAGCCAATCAAGGTCTGCGAATCTACCGGTACCTTGGCCCCCAAGGATCAAACAGCACGGACCACACTTAAGCTCTGGACCCTTTGGCGACGGCTCTCAAATTTCGGTTCTCTCGGTGACGGGTGCAAAAAGTTGACGGGGCATATCTGGTTTTTGTTAGAGCTCCGTATCGATTGTCGGTAAGTCTTAAGGTTTCTTTTCGTTCTTCTCCAGTGGAAATACTGGCTAGAAGATTTCCACTGGCTCTTGCCTCCGGAGCTAAGGCCTTTCGATGCAATGTCTCTATCTCGCTATGGTGAACATAGTTCAGGGAGCTGGCACCCTTGCACATCACAGCTGAAGAGCATCACAGCTGAAGAGCTTCACAGTTTAGATGGATTCAAGGCTCAACGCTTCAATGTTTTCCATATTGCAAATGTCACTCCTTTAAGATCTTAAAAACTTTTGTACCTTATCTCTGGTATTACTGCCTGGTATTACTGCGAACAGCTTGTTAACTCTTCTACGTGTTCTTTAATCATCAATATGTCACTTATACTAATATCGTGACAGTGACTCGAAATGAGGCAAGTCAACTTGCTAAGAGGGCCCCTAAGGGCGGCATGCAACCATCCATCTAGCACAACGAGATTTCTCTCAGCGGCGTCACCATCTCGATTGGGCTTGCAGGCACACCGCAAGCCTAGCACACATCTCACTCTTCGGAGCTCAGCTCATCAGCAGCACACAGCTCTCCACACCACCACGAAACGCCTCACAACAGCCATTGCTCCAGACACTCCCGAACCAGCATCACCTGAAGCTGTGTACTCGCCGCCGACGACCGGTATCATCTCTTACCTGCCCGCATCATGGGTCCCCTACGCAGAACTTACCCGCATCGATAAGCCGGCAGGCACCTACTACCTTTTCTTCCCCTGTCTATTCTCAACACTGATGGCCGCACCGATGGCCATGCCCATGGCGTCTCCGGCCTCTGTCATTGGAACTTCGCTCCTGTTCTTCTCGGGAGCCCTCATCATGCGAGGCGCGGGCTGCAGCATCAACGACCTGTGGGACCGTAACCTCGATCCGCACGTCACGAGAACGAAATTCCGACCCATCGCGCGAGGCGCCATCACTCCTTTCCAGGGTCTCGCGTTCACCGGCGCCCAGCTCCTGGCCGGACTGGGCATCTTGGTCCAGTTCCCCACGTCCTGCCTCTGGTACGGCATTCCGAGTCTGCTCTTCGTGGCCTCCTATCCCCTGGCGAAACGGGTCACCTACTATCCCCAGGCCGTACTGGGCCTCACCTTCTCCTGGGGTGCGATGATGGGCTTTCCAGCTCTCGGAATCGACTTGTTGTCCAATAGCGCGGCCTTGACGGCTGCTGGGCTTCTGTACACATCGAACGTCGCCTGGACGATTCTGTACGATATGATCTACGCCCACATGGACATCAAGGATGACGTCAAGGCGGGCATCAAGAGTATCGCCCTCAAGCACGATGCCGAGACCAAGCAGGTCCTGACGGGTCTGGCTGCGGTCCAGCTGAGTCTTTTGGGTGCTGCTGGGTTCGCAGCTGGTGCGGGTCCAGCCTTCTTTATTGGCAGCGTCGGTGGAGCGGCGGTGACACTCGGTGTCATGATCAAGCGGGTCAACCTGAAGAGCGTCAAGGACTGCTGGTGGTGGTTCATTAACGGTTGTTGGATCACTGGTGGCGTCATCAGCTTGGGTCTCGCGGCCGATTACACTGTAAGATACGTTCAAGGCGGAAACGAGGATGCTGTCGGTCAGAAGCAGCTGGAGTAGGAAACTTCAAAAAACGGCGTATAGAAAGATGTCAGGAGAAAACTTGTACCAACATCGTCTGTAAATTTCATAGCACGTATAATCAACATTCCCTTGATTCTTGATTTGTGTTCTTCACAACCCACCCCCAAATAAACCCCGTTTTGTGTAATGTGTGATGTGAAATGCCGCATGTTCAGGTATTGACTTTCATGATGTTTTATTTCATCGACCAAAGTCTACCCGCAGTATCAGGACCATAACCCATTGATGCCAATGCAAGCGTAAAACTCCGAGTGCCGAATTTTCTTCCACTGTCCTTCCCATGCTTTCGCGCGATCGAAAAAAGCCTCCCGTTTAGGATCTGGGCTTCTCCTTCTTCTCCTTCCACAGAGCGAGCAGACCGACACCAGAGACCTTGACGACCTTGAAACGGACACCGGGAATATCACCCTTGGCCTTGCCCTTGCGACCGAAACCGGCCAGGAGGACCTCGTCGTTCTCGTCGACGAAGTTCAAGCAACCGTCGTTGGGGACTAGAGATCATAAAAATGTCAGCACTTCAGTTCCCTTCGCCACATGGTCCCATTCAAGACCAGTCTTTCTTTTCCCGTTCTCTTGTTCGTCGTTCGAGAATCGCATGTTGGGGGGTATTCGGGAGAGGGTGTATCGTACCGAAAGCAGTGACTTTCTTGCCGTTCTTGATCAACTGAACACGAACGCACTTTCGGATAGCGGAGTTGGGCTGCTTGGCCTCGACACCGACCTTCTCGAGGACGATGCCCTTGGCGTGGGAGGAACCACCGAAGGGGGAGGACTTGAAAGCGGTACCGAGGGCACGCTTCTTGTATCCGAGATCGGCCCACTTCTGGTCCTTACGGTTCATGCGCAGCTTGCGCGCCGCATTGAGTCCACGAGGCATGTTGGCTGGATGAGACTATTGTCAGTTGAAAAAGTTCCTAGAGGGGTAGTTGTGTGCTGGTGGCAATCGAGATTGTCGTCGAGATTGTTGAAATTTTTTCTTGCTCGGGGAATTCGTCGTCGATAGGTTGGAGGTTCTGGATGGGACAGCGCAAACGTACCGATGTGTTGGGGGGTATCGCGGGAATTGACTTGGTGGTGGTGATAGTGCCTGACTGCTGCTTCGCGAAAAGTGGTATCCTCAGATTTGTCCGACGACAGCTTTTTCGGCACACAGAGGGTTTGTGCCCTTCGGTGGGAGGAGCGTCGTTTTTCATCACGTGATACTGGCTCGTGCGTTGTCCCATTGCTTGACGAGCGGAAGAAGGCCGGGTCTGCAAGTCAAAAGTGGGGGCAGGTTCGCCCAACCACGGCCGGGTTTCGCTTTCAACCACTTTGGTACGCCCGGAGCTTGAACCCCACGCTGCTGACCGTACCGTCTTAGCCAGGGGTGTCCCCTCAAGGTCCACAGCTTGCCTCGACTATCAAAACCCAACCAATCCTATCAGATGCCGTCAAGTTCAAGAGAAGCTGTCTCAGACGCCAAGTCCCGAGCTTGGAATGTTCACGACGACACACAAAATGTAGGCATGTCTCAATCAGCCAAGAGCAAAGGAAAACAGCGCGACCCTCCGCCGTCCCTATTCCTTCATCCATCTCCCGCCGCCTCTCATGCCTCGTTACCGGGTATACTTGCGCCTGGAGCGCCGGCCACCTTGTCTGCTGGCGTCACACCTCTCCCTCAGCAGGCCATGAATATGCAACGGAATGGATCTCTTCATACGGGCTCGGTAGTCGCGCCATCCGTTGCGCGCCCTGTCCGGAATCTCAAGACCGCCGATAGCGCCCGTAGCAGCGACAGGACCGACGCGTTATGGGCTGAGATGCAGGCGACGCTGGAGGAGGTCGAGCTCTCGGCGTCAGGTGGAACTCACGTGTTTGGACCCGATCACGATCGCAAGCTGGAGGAGCTGAGGACAGCACAGATCGACCTGGCACAGGCATGGGCACGAAGTGAAGCCGATGAGGCCATTGAGATGACGGGCCAGCGCTCCAACACGTCAGCAGCCGGAGGCGAGGAGGTCCGCAACCTCAAGAGCGCAGTGCTAGGAGAGACGAGCGGCGTGGCGTCAGATGGCAACGAGGGACCGCGGAGCACGGGAAGCAACAATGGGCGACCAGGTAGCAGCGGGGGTACGGAGCGACTCGGTGCGAAACTCGAGCAGGAGACAGAGGTGGACATCTTGCTCGCACGCAAGAGGCGCGAGGCCAACGATCGGTACTTCCAACGGGTCAACAAAGGTGTCCTCGACGTCGTTGCCAAACTTGAACACGTTGCTGTTGCGATGCGGGCTGTTGAGCAGGAGACTAAGGATATCTGGGGCGAGAATGACAGCGCGATGGGCAGTGCGAAGGGGTAGAGGCAATCCTGTGACCTTTTTGTGTTTTGTTTGCTCTATTACCTGAAGCATCACCCAGGGCCACTGTATTACAACAGCATTGATTCTTTGCATGCTCGGGAAGGAGTTTCGTTGTTTGGTGGTTATGGGCTGGCGTTGAGGATCACATGCATTGGGCGGCAGCACCCCACCAACGTCAGGTTGATAGATTGGCACTGGATGCTTAAGGTATAGTATTAATTGATATATCTAAGCCAGCTCAACGTTCCTGTTCGGGCTTTGTGAGGTGATCAACGAGGTCCACACAGTCTATACCAGCAAAGAACGACGAGCTGAAGATCACACTGGAACATTGAGCTCCATCGTCGGAGGGGCCGGATGAAGTCGTACACATGAGTCGGCTGGTGAGGTGCGACGGTACAATGGCTTGCCCATCGCTGTCACCGATCGCTAAATTGCTCCGAGTCTGCAGCGGGAGATGCGGGTGCACCAAGCGATCGATTGCGCCATCGAATGTGGTGGTTACACCTAGACATTCTACACAACATTACACTTTGCTACTATGTACAAGGTGGCACGTTGGGACAGGTGAAGTTGGTGAAGGTATACGGAGTATCGGAGCCCGAGATTGGTCCATGTCGCTATATTTCCGCTGGTGACCTTCCTCACAGGGAAGGCCGAGTCCTGGCGGGACGACGGAGAGCACCCGTGACCGGAGGCGGAGGAAACAGCAAAGTGGGACTTTTGTTGCATGTCACCAGTCTGAATCCGCGCCAAGACCCTTGCCACTGCACACAGTTGGTGTGCTGCACGCTGAACGTACGGATAGTTTCCTGTCTTGTACCCGCGTACCTTACCTTAGGTATGGAGACCCAGGAATCTGACGAAAATGCTGGCGAAAGAAAAAGAGGTTGCACATGTCCATACTGCTTGCTAGCGCCACCAGGTTGTCCCATTATTGCCGGTTCCCACACCATTCTAGACGCAGACGACTGACGTATGTTACTGGCTGGAACCTGGCAAACTGGACGGAAAAGAGTGACAAACAGCAATGGAACACCTCCACTACTTTCGAGGGGGGCCACCACGGCTGACGGCGCTCCCTACTGGGCAGGTGGTCAACTAAGGTTCGGCTGGTGATTGCCCATCCCAGGTGCCTTGCGCGCTGTGTCCCCATCCATTCAGCGGTCACTGGTCAGTCACCCTGCCATGACAAAGGGGAACCCAAACATCCATTCGATATCCATCAAGGCCCAGTTCAGTCCGTCCACGTCTAACTTGCTGAACTTCCTCCCTGCATCCACCCGTCCTTCACCAATCCGCGAGTCTCCAGCAACTTTCTCCAGTAACTCGCAAGCAACGATTAAATAACCGCAAACTCCCCACAAGACCCTTGAGCGCATTCGTCAATCATACTACCTACCCTACAACACTGGCAATACCCTCATCCTCGACTTTGATCAATCGCCGCAAAGTCAGACTCTCGATACCGACCCGCATCAACATCCGCGATCGCAAAGAACTTCGTTCCACCCCTTTTCGACGACCTCATCACTCTCCGCAACCATGAGACCCTCCACCTTCCTCGTCGCCGCTCTGGCTGTCGTCCCCGGTGCTCTCGCCGTCGACCAGATGAAGTCCGTCATCGTCTGGGCCAAAACTGATTCCGTCGGTGACGACATCATTCAGAGGGCGAAGCAATCCATCATCGATGCCGGCGGCCAGATCACCCATACCTACTCTATGATTAGGTGAGGCATTACTCTTCCATCGGTTTGAGGTTTTTAAATCGCAGCTAACAGCGATCAGGGGATTTGCCGCCGTCACACCTGCTAAGGTCCTTGAATCTGTTCAAGCCTTTAGCGAAAGCCTCACAATCGAAGAGGACCACACCGTCACCAACTCCGTATAGATGGTAGCCTCATTATCGAACCAAGTTGTTCATCGGTCGGGCACAACTGGCGACAGGCAATTTGCAAAGCATGCATCTGGTGATAGATACAACAATGTGCGAAAAGAGACTTTGGCTGGACTAGGTCACGAGGACAATGATATCCGCCGCCTTTCCCGGCGGCTGCGACAGGGGCAAGCGAGGGGGCACTCATAATTACCATTGCCGTCATAGACGATTTATCACTACGGAGTCGGGAGTTTTCATCGATAAGAAGTGCCTCGGGGCATCTTCTGTATGGCTACAGCGATGCTTGGACCGCACCTGGTTCAATCCTGCTCGACGCCTTAAAAAATAAGACCGAAAATAAAAATCACAGCATACCTACTCATGACTTTAGTCTTTGCCTTGATTATTCCGCCACGTGTACGGGAATCCTTCTCAACTGACGGCCGCTTTATTTTGTACAGTGCTGACGTCGTGGCGTTCTACGATGATGTATCCCAGGTTCCGCATGCGGCTGACATCCACACAACGACGTTGATGAGAGACCTAAGCCTTGCGTGAACCCTTTCGACCTTCGAGGACCAATCCCTAAGGTGATGTACCTGATGAGTGGGGGATTCATGTGCGGCACGGAAAGCAGATGTGCAGATCAAAAGCGGATTTCTGCGTCTTCTAGCCTCCCCACTGCCGGCCAAGGATGCTGATTCAGCTTTATGCTAGGGATATAATCTGTCGCTGAGGGGCACAAGATTACTCGATATCTCGAGGCCTCGTCCAGAATGTTGAGATACTGCATGTGCTTGATTGCAGTGACGCAGCATGCTGCAGCAGCACCTCCTATTGCACGACAAGTCGGCGGTCTCCTCACGGGATGAAAGCCCGGTGTTTCTGATACCTCGCGTAATGCTCCAATTGGGTTGGGCAGAAAAAGCGCCTGGCAATCTCACACTCACAGACGTGTCAAAGCGCAATGTGGGGGGAGACTTTTGGAAAGCCACCAGACTCTGAAGATGATGCAGTCAGTCTGTCACTAGCCGATGAGAGACCTGAAGGGGGGGCTGAAGAGGGAATCCTTCAGTCTGCGTGCCTGCATATCTTGGGTATATCCGTAGGTATAATGGTGCTCTTTGGTTCGGCACGGAACCGTGGAGAAGGGTCCAAGGCGAACCGGTTGCAACCCTACGATGGATGACCGACCTCGTCAAGCTTTCGGGGAGAAGTCCATGCCGTATCGATGGGATGGCAATATCGTCCATGATTTCGGTAACCGTATCCGTATCGTAGGCTCTGCCGGCCAAGAAGGGAGGAATCAGAAGCACGATCAGGAGGGTGGTTGATTGTCGAGTAATGACCCAGGACCATCCGAGAAGATGACTTGGAGTCTGTGCTTATGGCTACAAAAATAGTGCAGTTTGAACAATGTTCGGCCGTGTTTGACAAGAAAAGCACTTTTCGACTGATGTTGACTTTGAACAAGAATCCGAGGTTCTCGGTGACCATGTGCAAACAATGATATTGTTCTTCACCCTGGCTTTGTGCACTTGGTCTTTCGGAGCCTTTCACCAAACAAAAATCTTGATTCCAAAAGGAAAAGCAAGAAAGAAAGGTGGCTTCTCAGCCATCAGCCCTCCCACGTTGCCGCCAAAGAAAGACCCAAGGGTGCTG